TGGGGGGGGGGGGGTCCACAGGCCCAGCCGGTGGGATCAAGGATCGCTTGTCCGATCGGCAAGCAGGGGTCAAAACTTCACACCTCTCAGTTGCAATCCTGTCTGATAGTGACATGCGTCAGTCTTACTTATCCAATTACCACCAGTGCTTGCCTTTCATAGGACCACTGTTTGACCTATTAAAAACAGAAGCGTTTGAACATCTCCTTTAATTGCTTCCCCCCTAAGTCCCACCCATCAATGCCACCCCTCACTGCCATCATTGTAACAACGATTCGAGGAACTCTTTTCTTGGCTGGCCGTACGATCAGGGCGACAGGCATTGGTTAATCTAATTTCACACCACTGGCTTCTGGCTACCTAGGAAAGTTTCCGTAGTCGCTCGCTACTGGAACACTCTCACGGGCAGTCTTGGGATATCACACCCACACTACACTGACCATCTGCAGCGCTCAGTGCTCACATGATGGGGTAACATAGGGTAACTTGCACCCCTACTCGCCTTCCTCGCCCAGCGGCATGGCCATGGCGTTTAAGTTTAGAGCTGGGGGAATCAAACTTGCGAGTATTGTTTCAAATCAGGGCTGAGCGGGCAAAGCTTAGACAGGTGAAACCCCCGAAAGGGAGCGGATTTTTCTTTCCGTTTTCGCGTTGGACAGGTTTCCGTTTTATACAGGTAATTAAAGAGGAATATATCAAGGGGCACAGGTTTCCGTTAAGGAAGGTTCGACTGTACATTTATGCAATTTCCCTATCTCGCGTCCGCGCGAGACTCGATAACATAAAGAAAGCCGAAACTTAAGCGGCTGAAGATCGACTCGGACAGGCGCCAGTAGGTGTCTGCTTGACTCCACATAGAGGGCGTCTATTGCCGATCCCTTTAGGCTCGCGTTGCATTGATCTACTGTTGTCTAGTCTGCCTAGATCTACCGTATCTAGAATCTAGTTCTAGGCCTTGAGTGATTACAAATTTACAAGAATGGACTCGTCATCCGAGAGGGTGAGGGGGAGAGGAGGAGAGGGGGGGAGAGAGAGGGGGAGAGAGGGGGAAAGAGAGAGAGGAAGAGAGAGAGGGGGAGAGGGAGGGAGGGAGGGAGGGAGGGAGAGGGTGAGAGGGAGGGAGAGAAAGGGAGGGAGAGAGAGAGGAGAGAGATTATCTTCCCGTGTCCGATAGAATGTCATATAAAATTGCAATATTATGTCATAAATGTGTCAATAACAAAGCTCCCTTATATCTTAGTGATCTCATCCAGATGTATGTTCCATCTAGATCACTAAGATCAGGCGATCAGTATCTTTTAAGAATTCCTAGAAAAGGGGGTAAAAAATTAGCTGAAAGATCGTTCGCCCACCTTGCTCCGTCAGTTTGGAACTCTCTTCCCCAACCCTTGAGACATACAACATCTGAGTCTAAATTTTTAAAAATCTTTAAAGACACATTTAATGACATCTTTTTTGTCTGTAGATTCAGGTTCAATACAATGTTATGTAAATGACTATGTATCCATTTATGTATTTTGTGAATTGCATTGTGTAGATTATTTTATGCTCATTTCGTGACGACGTGTAAGCGTGCGCGTGTTGTTTATTTTTTTTGGTAAGTGTTTTACGGCGCTCGCAACTGCATAAGGTCATATGAGCGCGCGGGACACACTAAACTTTTTCAGTTGGTAGGAAATTTTGAATTTTGCCCGGGTGGCGGCCGAAGCCTGCTCTTATCGATTTTAGACCACCAAGGGATCTTTAACGTGCACAACTTGCACACGGGACCTCCGAGATTTTTCGCCCTTGTCCGAGAAGGCCGGTGTAGATCTTTCCTACCAGAAGATCAGGGGTGTGGCTGACAGACAGCAGTAAGAAGAAGCCAATAAGTAGCTGTAGAAAGGCTGCAGAAAGAATCAGGAGCCCAGAGGAGGGGGCAAAGGAGGTGAAGGGGTGGGGGGGGGGGGGGGCAGAAAGAGGAGACAAAAGCAGACGACAGAAATTTGCTAGAGAGTAGGAAAGGAGGTGAAAGGAGACAAATTTAGAGAAAAAATAATTTTTTGGTTGCTACCCGGATTCGAACCCGGGATCTTTGAATGAGAGGCGAACACCTTAACCTCTAGGCCT